TTCTATGATTCTATGATTCTACCCTTTGCATCTTAAACTCCAATAATGCTAAGCCCAGGTTCTTCACACCTAAATTCAGGCACTTAGTGAAAACGAGTCCAAAGCACAACAAAAGGCTTGGCCCTTCCACACCGGGCATCAGATCCCAGCTAAGGCTTGGTTGTAGACTCATCATGGGAGTGATTGATGACTTTTCTTGCTCCGTGTCGATTGCCTCTTCCTCTCAGTAGGGGCTTCATGTACCTGTGTCGTGTCTGACATACCTAGAAGTGTCCTGTCAGAGCCCAAGGCATAGCAGGACTTCAAGATGCAAATCTCCAGCCGTCCTCCCACCAGGCACCATGGGCCAGCCCCATGGCAGAATCAGAGGCCTTCAACACTGTGGTAGTTGCTTAGTAGCAAACGCCCATTGCACTTCTCATTGCTCCTCGTAGAGTTTTTATACACATCCATGCTCTCAAGGATTTCCAGCGCTTCAGGGTGGATGGAAGAGCATTCATGAGAGACAGGGTGGATGAGGGGAAGACCTTCCTAACCCAACAAATTCTTCCTAGCAATCCCAGACTGTTTCTGACCACGAAGATGACCACCTCAGCAGGATCAGTCCCTAAGGGACATCTTCCCACACAGGCTTGGTACCTTTCCAGAAAGCAGGTACTAGCCAGAAAGATGTCTCCTGCTCTGAGTTAAACAGGAAATTAAATCACATGAGCTGTTTATCCCTTCTGGCCTTAAAACTCTCAGTACCTACGGTGTGAAAAGCCTAGGTATTCCCATTTGGAACAGAACAGGATAGAATAGAGTATTTCAGTTCGAGGGACCTACAACGATCACCTAGTCCAACTGCCTGACCAATTCAGGGCTCACCAAAAGTTAAAGCATATCATTAATGGCATTGTCCAAATGCATCTAAAACACTGACAGGCACGGGGCACCGACCTTATAGCTTTGATGTATCTCTTCACACAGCTTTGCTGACCCACGACTTTGGGCTCCATCTTGCCCAGAGAAGCTGTGGATGCCCCATCCCTGGAAGTGTTCAAGGCCAGGCTGGATGAGGCTTGGAGCAACCTGGTCTAGTGGAAGGTGTCCCTGCCCATGGCAGGGGGGTTGGAACTAGATGGGCTTTAAGGTCCCTTCCAACCCAAACCATTCTGTAATTCTATGATCTTGTTGTTGCTTTCATTTGAATCAGCTGTTTTTCATGGAGCCTACAAGGTAGAGCTGGAAACACTTTCTCCTAGACGACCTTAAGCGTATACAAAACCCAGTATTTTTTTTTATATTTGGATCTGTAGGTTCCAAGGCCTTTAGCAATGAGAAAAGAGGGCATTCAGACGAGGAAGCGCAAGCCAAAGAATCTCAACAAAACAAAGACACCAGCAGGTAAGTGTTGAATGAGGGAGTTCACCGCATGTGTATATGTGCTGGTTTTAGTCAGTATACTTGCGTGCACTTGTGTTTCTGACCATCATGACCTGTGGGTCTGACACCCAACCACAAAATAGGCTGATCCATCAAAAATGGGGGATGTCTGAATGCCTTTCAGCAGTAACAAAGCCCTTCCCACTACTTATTTTTTATTCTTACCTATGCTGACTTCGGGTGGGCGAGTACAGCTCGGTACTGAAAAGCTTTTGGGAATAGAGTTGTTTTCCATCTGATTTCTCGCAGGTCCATCCAGCAGCGAGAACCCGACCACCAGTTCCACCAGCAGCAGCAGCAGCAGCACCACAACCACTGAAGAAATGCGCCCCATCAAAACAGAACCTGGGCTCTCATCTCATTATGGGCACCCCAGTCCAATTTCTCAGGTACAGAGGGGAAACGCTGGCAGATGGGAACTGAGATGGTAGACGCGGTGAGAAGAACATCCTCAAATCCTCTGTGGAAAAAGGCAGCCTGTTTTCAACAGAGGGGTCTAGGAGTTCACAGTCAGAGACCTATCCTTTGGGTCGGGGCAAATCCCTCTGTTCTTGTCACCATGTCTACAGCGCAATATAGGTTTTTAATGATTCGTAGCAGTTCTGAATCGACACCGAGAAGTAGCAGCTTTGTTGAAAACATTAAATTCCTTCTAGCTGGGCAGCTCTATAGGTCCTGTAGCAAGAAAATGCCCATTCCCTTGTCATGATTTGATTTTCCCTGAGCAAAGAAAAATGTGGCAATATTACCCTACTTTCTCTGCACCGGTTGGCTGTGTGTTGAGCGGCATGAGGAATGCAGTGTGAGGAGAATAAACTCACACAGCCCAAATCTCACACAGTTGAGTCCCTGCAAAGGTAAAGCAAGGCAGCATGATGGCAGAGCTGCAGGGGAAAGTGGTGTGCTCTGGACCATATTAATTGTGTGGGATCAGCACTGCGTCCATGCAAGGTGTGTATCCTGCTGAGCAACACCCGGACCTGGAAGCTGATCTGTACGAATGTCTGCAGGTTTAATGCCTTGGTTAAGGATCCCCATAGCACAGCACGATTCAGGTGCAGAGGTATATGATAATTGCTTTCCTTTTGGCTTCATACAGGAAACTCCTGTGTTTAAACAAAATGATCCCTGGAGAAAAAAACACATATGTGGTCAAGTGTTGTGCTGGACTGATCCTGCAGCACTCTGCAGCACTGTTATGTGTCCTGCAATCCACAGGAGGCTATTAGTAAGTTAGGAGAGCCCAAGGCCAATGAAATCTCAAGCCTTGGGAGGTAAAATGATCTTTTCTGACATTCAGAAGAGAACAAGATGCAGTAATAGGAAAGAACAGGGTCTGGAACAAGAAAGAAAGAGCCTGTCCAAAGTATCATGTGTGAGTTGCAATCTGGAGCTCTATAGCAAACTCACAGACATGTTATTGCAATAGCAACAGGCCCCCATGAAGGGATTCGTATGGTCCTCTAAGGTTTGAAGCTGTACCCACAAGATTTTCCTTTTCCTACAGGCATTCTCAGTCTCTGCCATGTCTGGACATGGATCATCTATTCACCCTGCGATTTCGGCTCTGAAGCTTTCCCCGCAGGCTTACCAATCAGCTATCAGCCAGTCTCCACAAACCAGCTCCAAACAGGACTCCTGGAACACCCTGGTGTTAGCTGAAAACCATGGGGACATCATAACTGCATAACCTGGTCTTCCACGCACAGACTTCAAGCTGATCTGCTTGAGAGATGAAGAAGATGCCACGTAATCATCAAGCCAACGTAGTTTCCCACCTCCCCTGCTCTCCTGCCTTCTCTCCCCTTGGGAGATGTTCCAGCAAAGAGGTAAAGGGGAGTTAACCTGAGGTGTAGGAGACCTCTTATGAAACAAACAGAGAAGACTCAAATCTCAAAGTAACTAATGGATGTGAAGCCTTTTTCCCCACTTTAAATGAGCCTCTTTATTTGATTGTTGCCACCTTCAATGAAACAGCCAGAAACGCAAAGATGGACACAGTTCCTGAGTTTGGTTTATATAAAAACATCTGGCGTTTAAGACTCAGATGATGGTGGAGCAGAGACATTTTTTTCTTCCATCACCTTCCATTCTTTTCCTGACCAGAAGAAAATGCCACCACTTTCTCATTACCCAAATTCAATGATCTCCCACCAAATGGAGCCAGTTCCAGAAGAGTTTGTTGAACAGACTTCACTAGACATGCTGTGGTGGTTTTAGTGGATTTGATATGGTCTAGGGCAGAGAGGAAAAGACCCCCTCCCTGCCCCCCTCCCAACCCTCACCC